GAAGTTGTTTTTCTTGGCGGTCGAAAATGGCGGCAAATCAGCAGTAAGCCTAGCTTTACAACATGTCCATGAGTTTGATGTCAATGGTGTGGACGGAGACGGAAAAAGTGCATTACTTCTGGCAATTGAAAACAGAAATATAGGTACGTATCATAAACGCATTATTTGAGATGGATTATTAAACTATTTGCAAATTAGAATAATATAATTAATAAACCGTGAATAGGATTTTTTGAAAAACAAACAAAATTTAATACATGTAATAATATATAATGTAAATTACAATGTTCAAAGGTAAACTGAGTGTTATGCATTTGTACATAAAATAGTGATACAATTGTCTGTGCACAGAGAGTCTGAGGTTAGGAGAATTTGAAATACGTGTTATATATATGCGACTTGATATCACACTCTTCCAAAGGGATTTGGTTTATAACACGATTTAAATCCTACTTTAAGCCAATAAACTTTATGTTGTGTTTTACTTAGTGATGAGCTCATTTGTTAAGTACAGCAGCAAATAGTCTGTTGGTATCCAGAGAGGTAAGAGAGGAGAGAATTTGATTTGCAAGTACTTAATAAATGTTTAACAATTGGTAACTAGTTGACATTGGCTTTTTATTCTATTGACTTAGTTCTTGGGCTAACTGACGACAGACGATAACACACGGAAAACAAAGGAAATGCCAAAACGCGCATGTTTCATACGAATAAACAAATGTGAATATTCATGTTAGAAAATTAAAACAGCATTTTAGATTAAACATTATAATATACATGATATAAATAGGTATTAAGAGACGACGTCAAAAGATCGATGTCGGATAAAAAAACTTATTTGCTTTAGTTTGGGGAGGGGGGGTTATGACCTCCAACAGTTTCTATCCTACAAAAACGATTTTATTTTTTCATGAAATCAAAAAAATCTTGGAGTATTTGTAATTCGTTTTTTTCTCTAACCAATCATGGACAAAAATAACAGAAAATGAAAAAAACACATCTAAGACGAGAAAATGGTTTGGTCCGAGTGTAAAGTCTTTGTACACCCACCCAACAAACAACTGCTACACCATACTACTGTCGGATTATCAATTTGTATTTAATGGTGAATGTGGTCTGACGCCATGGTCAATATTCATCAATTAAGTTTCAGTGGGAGATAGGGGGGTTTGGGAAAAAACTAAAGGAATTAAGTTTTTATCCTACATTGAATTTTTGATGTTGTCCCTAATGTGACACAGATGTGAATATTCATGTTAGAAAATAAAAACAGCATTTTAGATTAAACATTATAATATACATGATATAAATATTTATTAATATGACACGGATGTGAATGTTCATGTTAGAAAATAAAAACAGAATTTTAGATTAAACATTATAATATACATGATATAAATAGTTTTTAATGAGACACAGGTGTGAATGTACATGTTAGAAGATAAAGGAGATATTCATCTAGCAGTGACTGCGTTCAAAGTTTACGCTAGTAATATTGTGGCCGCACCTGGCAAATGATAAATGTTAGGCCGCACTTTACAGTACATTTTAGATTATCCATACACTGCAGTTGATCAATGTGTTCAGATAATATTTTGTGACACATTTGTGATCACGTAGACGTAATTAAAACACAACTAGTTCTTAATATATTTGGGATCTGTCTTGCAAATCAAATTTAGCAGTTTTATTGATGTAGAATGACCGGCAAATGCGCCAAATGCAGCAAATGACCCGTTTGTTTCGTAAGTTAAACCCCTTCATAATACAAACAAAACTATGTTTACTAATTTAGCTCAACTGCATATACATTGATATTGTTATGCTTAGTAAGTTATTGTCTTAATTTATATTGTCACTAAATTAACAAATAAACTGTTTATGTTTGTTTTTTGGTGCAGCACATCAAGCACATTAGTTATCAAGCACATTAGTTTTAACACGCATGGCCATATAGAGAAGTGAACTGTCATAAATTGTAACAATCATTACTCGACAGTGTTAAAGTGAAAGTCAAGGCTAACAACATAATACTCCTCGATGGAAGAGCTCGGCAAATGTAAGAACATGCAATTTACAGTTTTTTTTATATCACTTCTCATTCTCTAGATATTCAATTTTTCATCAATTTATGTAGACCGCCATCTTGATTCTTCAGCAAAGGATTATGGGTAAAGTATGACATCATAGAGTCTGTTGTCAGAAATTGAGAAAATGATTTCATCTATAACTTCAAAAGTTGAACTTTAAATTGGCTGAAAGTTTAAAACAGGGTAGCATACATGTACTGGTGCCAAACATGCTTATAAAATAGTTTGTCATGGAAACAGAACTGAAAATATTTATTTTTATGTTTTTCTACCAAATGCTCAATTCCTTATATTGTAAAACAATTCACCGTTGTG